ATCCAGCTTTGTGTGATCACTGTGTATAACGTACCAGAGTTCTGCTGTGTACTTGTACCATAGCATGAACTTGTACCTTAGCCTTCAGGAAAGATGAGTAAAAATACACTGGAAGAATGGTTAGGGGATAATTCTACAATGAGTCTATAATCCAATGTTTTCATTCATTTCCAATTTCAGATCTGTTTCAGAAAATACGTTTTTTTACTGTTTTCTACATGCTCCCTGTGCCTCTGTTATGTGACTTGTCTGTCCTTGTATAGCTGGACATTATGTATCTATATGAGATTTATACCATCAATTTGTATCTTGGTGGTAATCTGCTTTTCTGTAAATGAATATATCCTGTTGGAACACATCGCAAGCTTTAGCAGAATATTTTCCTTGGGTGAAATGAGTATCCTTTCTACCTTGAAGGTGACTTCCATAATTTTATGCTGTTCACTGCAGGCATTAAGTCAAGATGATGGCAGATGAAGCTATTTGTTTGTAATTGATAGGTTGTTTGTTAATCCAAGTGGTCTGAATTCTTTGCTGAATCCTTATATTTGTATGGGATTAAAGCCACATTGTCTAAAGCCATTTTTTTCCTTTTGTTTATGCGTCTGAACAATTTGCAAGTTATACTGTTCTATATTTTTCATCGGTAAATGTGAATTGGAATCAATTTGTAAACTCAAAACATTTGCAGTAGATCTGTCTGCATTTTTTTTCTGATTTGTCATATTACTTGAATGTCCTTGGGCACCTGGGAAACCAGTCCATTGATGGTTTCAGGTAATGACGTTAACTTCAGGTGCAGACTTCTTTCAATGAGATGATACAAAAGGGATCTGAAAATTCCTATCTGCTGTAAAGATCAACTGTGCAAGAAGACTTTTGTAATCCTAGTCTGTTGGGGAAGAAAGGGGCTGAAGAAAGCTAGGTAGATGCTCCATTTACCAACACCTCTGGTATTGTATTGGAACTCAAACTAGCGCCTGAGAATCCAGCTCACATTTTATAATATTCACTTTTTCAGATCCTCTCATGATCAGTTTTCAGTTTCTCAGTTTCTTTCAGTAACTTTCAGAATGATTCAGCTGCCACTTCAGATCCTTTTTTGAGTCCAGAGAACCATGCACTCATTCCTGTTCTTTCACCAATATGCTGTTACTGTATGCACCCATTTTAAATGACTCTTGTTTTTATTTTGTCTGACCTCCAAGAATTCTACAGTTTTTTTGAAAAGAGAATCATAGAATTATACAGCACAGAAGGAGGCAATTCAGCCCATCGTGTCTGTGCTGGCTTTTTGAAAAGAGCTGTCCAAATCAATCCCATTCCCCCGCTCTCTCCCCAGAGCCCAGGAAACTTGTCCTCCCCAAATAATTGTCTATTTCTCTTTTAAAAGTTGTTATCAAATCGTTTTTCACCACCCTTTCAGGCAATGCATTCCAGATCCGAACAACTCACTGTGTGATAAAAATTCTTCTCGCCTCCCCTGTTTCTTTTAACAACTACTTTAAATCGGTGCCCTTGGGTTACAAACCCACCCTCCAGTTGAAATAGTTTCTCCTTGTTCACCCCATTGAATCCCTCATAATTTTGAAAACTTCTATTAAGTCTCCTCTTAGCCTCCTTTGCTCCAAGGTGAATAATCCTCGCTTCTGTAGCCTCTCCTGATAACTGAAGTCCATCATTCCTGGTATCATCCTGGTAAATCTCTGTTGCACCCTCTCCAATGCCTTAACATCCTTCCTAAATTGTGGTGCCCAGAATTGAACAGTCTCCAGCTGTGGCCTAACCAGTGTTTTATAAAGGTTTATTATAACTTCCTGACTTTTGTATTCTATGCCCCTATTTATAAAGCCTAGTAACCTGTCCTGCCACCTTCAAAGATTTACTTATAAAGAAAAGCAGTAAAGGAAAGAAGAAAGCAGTTTGAGCTATTAGGTTTGGTATAACTTTTAAATTAAAAAAAAACTTTAAAGGTTTGCCACAAAGGCAATCACAATTCATTTTTTAGTTTGTCACTGCTATTTAAGTCATCATGCAGTCAATATCCCATCTGCATTTATTTATGTATTCATTAATGTGCCTAATTCACCACTCTGGCTAGCACATCACTGAGCCCTTTTCTTTTGGACTGATGAGTTATCAGGAGTTTGCAGTAATTCCTGTTGAGCTCTTAACTGTGACATGTTTTAAGCTCTACAGGGTTTGCAGGAGGATGTGAGAACATGTTCTCTCTTAGGCACAAGTTCTTCTCCATTCTGATGTACTTAATAATTATTGTGGTCATGTCCCCGACTTCCTGTTTTATACAGTCATTTCCTTTTGTGAACTTTTAAGTTCCCTAGAAGCAGAACAAAAAGGGGTAGAGACTATTGTTAGTTAGCCTAACATGATTAGAAACGGCATGAATTGGTTCTTTTGTGCGGCTTTCCTTGTGATGTAGCCAGTGACGATTATTTTCAGACTGTACAAGTCAATCTGTTTGAAACGTTGGGTAAGCGACTTACACAGCAATTCTCCCGCCACCCCTTCCAACTGCAGTCAACTCCCTCTGTTATGATCGTAACAATTCCGCTATGCTGCTGCCATCCCACATTTCAGTTATGAGTGTCTTGTTACAGTTCAGTTCAACAATGAGTAACCAGTATTTTGGGATCAATGTTTGTAGTTAGCAGAAGGAAATTGTTTCCCACCAAAGTCTTCCTCTTGCTGAAGCTGGGCAGCCCGGGGAGAGAAAGCTGATTTCACAGATCACCATTATTTTGCCCACAAAATATACTGTTAATTCACTTTATAGTATATTCTGTGAAGCACTTTGAGACGACTCAAAGACATGCTAAGCGCTATATCAAATGCAAGTATTATTATCCACAGGGGTGGTTTTCTTGTTATTAATAAAGGAAAATCTCTATGAACTAGTGGTGAAAGCTATGAATAATGTACCCCCAAAGCAGGGACGGGATAAGAATTGACATTTTAGGACTGGAGTGGTTTATTAGTTCAAATTAGCTGGGAAGATTCTTGTCGATGAGCATGTTTGCGAGTACCTCCCACTATACCTAAGGAGATTCAGGTGTCGTCTTGGGGTTCTAGCAGTGTCGTTCGTAGTAGCCCCATCTTTCCAAGACTTGAGCGGCCATGTTACCCTGTACTGCAATATTAACCTCACTTCTGGAGGTAGAGACAGCCGTCTTTTTCTGGCTGACAGAATGCTCAAATGCTCAACCTTACTTGCAGGTCAGTGTGTGTGTTAACCACAAGCTGGTGAAGATCTTTCTTTGTACACTGGGGACTTGCCAAAGTCGTGTTAACCTGGCTCAATTGGTAGCGCTTTCACCTCTGAGTCAGATGGTTGCTTATTCAAGCCCAATGTGGGGACTTAGAATCACATATAACACTTATATACGACACTCCAATGCAGTGCTGGGCATGTGTTGTATTGTTGGATGTGCCGTCCTTCAGGTGAGACATTAAACCAAGATCCGATTTGCCTAATGTTCAGGTGGACATTAAAGATCCTATTGGCACTATTTGAAAAGTAAAGGGAGTTTCTCCCGGTATCTTGACCAACAATCGCCCAAATAAAATTGGTCCATCGTTCCAATGGCTGTTTGTGGTACACTACTGTGTCAAACCAGTTGCCAAGTTTGCCCACAAAATACAGTCAATCCACTTTACAGTATGTCCTGGGAAACGCTTTGAGACTTCGCAATGACTAAATAAGCTGCAATATCAAAGGCAAATATTATTATTGTTATAGTAAAGTAACTGCTCCCAAATTTTCATTTACATATGTCCGACCTATCTCTTCTGTTACAAAAATCCACACCGTTGTATAAATGAGGCACATTGTCAAAGAGCATATTGCTGTTTGTAAGCTAAATACAACATTAAATTGTGTGGCTTTAGTAACCACCGTGGGTTTCTAGACCATATATATTGGAGAGGTTTGCCCACTCTCTGAATTACTCAAAACTTTTTTTTTCTGTTTATAAATGCAGCCTCAAGATGTGATTAAACTTCTTTATGTGAATTGTCTTCACCCTATAGTGAACTCTCCTTTTACAATTTTTCACCTTATGATTGTTTGTGGAATGGAGTTTGTGAGGTGCACAAATTAGCTGCCATCGACAAAATACACAATTCTACATTAACTTCTGTGAAGCACTTTAAGACATCCTGATGTGAAAGGCGGTATATCAAATGTAAGGAATTTTATTTATTTAAAATTGGACTTCAGGTTACCTGATTCACTGATTTCCCAATGATAACCAGGAGTATGAATACACAAAATAAAGAATATTGTACTTGGTTTACCGTACTAAGTTTGTCATTTTTTAGGTGCTTGTCCTGATGGCTACCATTTGTTTTATGCCTCACTCTCCATGCTTGTTTGTTGATTCCACAACAACTTTTAAGCAAACCTCACCCACTGGTCTTCTAAACCATAATAATAATTTGATATAGCCCCTTATCACGTTGTCTAGATGTTTCAAAGCGCTTCATGGGATGCACAGTAAAGTGTAGTGACTGTATTTTGGGGGGCAAAACTGACGCTGTTTGTGGGCTTACTTGGAAATGTGATGATTTTTGTGATAGTAATGAACATTTAGCTCCTCAATGCATTTTGCACAAAATGTGTTTGTCGTAATATATGGCTTAAATGTGGTCACAAGTGATGTCGGGAAACCTGGAAGTCAGTCAGTGTTTAGAATGGGAAACCGGCTATCGGGGCCTAGTTGAAACATGTGTCAATTTTTAAAAAAAACTCATTTCAAATGTTACTTTTTTAATAATAAAACCTGGATACTCCTGTATAGGTGCAGGCATCCAGTATTCATAGAAACATTTACATTTCAAGTGTTTTTTAAATTATTATATGTAAGATTTGTAATTTCCTATTTACCTTGTGCACAACAACTTGATATGTGTTTAAATATTGCAGTGATGTATAAGTTACCTATTGCAGCTTGATCTAACCTTGTGTTTTTTTCTCTTTCCAGGGTTTTTTATCATTTATGAGTGCTCCACTAATAGGTGCTTTATCTGATGTATGGGGGAGGCGATCATTTCTCTTGCTTACAGTATTCTTCACTTGTGTCCCAATTCCTTTAATGAGGATAAGTCCATGGTAAGAATTGCTGGCTGGAACAGTTGGATCACATGGGAAAATAGCTGAGTGGCTTGTGGAATGGAATGTGAAAATACTTTGCTGCGCAATTATTGTAATTGTAACTGTTATGTACGAACTGGCAGAGGAGCAGACCCCTTAATGATGGTAGTTCAGAATGGAATCAAATTGACATGCAACATGGAATTGTGATGTGTTCTGCCCAAATTTATCATGCATTGGAGAAAACCATGTCAACAAGCTTTATATTAAAGTATTTTATTGAGCAGTAAAGTCGAATTTGAGCTTTTAAAGCAACTAAAACTGTTTAATTACTGTAAGCATCGGTGTCCAAATAACAGGGTAAATCTCTTCAAATTGTGACCGTAAGTTTTAGCTTTGTGTGGTGTATGTATAATCTGTAACCTAATTTACTGAAGCAAAATATATCTAAAATTTATTAATTGATGTAGAGTATTATTATTAGATTGAAATGCAAATTTTCTAATTTTCCTGCCCTGGAGTTGCAGAGAAACTTGATAAATCTGATCCAATCCCTTTCTGTTTCATTCTTGTAGGTGGTATTTTGCTGTTATTTCAGTATCTGGGATCTTTGCTGTCACATTCTCGGTGATATTTGCATATGTAGCTGACATCACGCAAGAGCATGAGAGAAGTACTGCATATGGACTGGTAAGACTGTGTGTGTGTGTGTGGGTGAGAAAAATCAATGCACATAAAATATTTTGGGATCCCATTGCACCCTCTTTCTTGAATAATTTCTGCAGGTCTTGTGATGTCAGTCAACAAAACTTAGTTCTTTTTTAACCCCCTTTTCTTAAACTTCACTTTAATGCGCCTCACATGTTCAGCTGTGCCAATGAGCTACAGAAACCTTGAGATTAAACTTTTAAAATACCCAAAGCTTCGAAGCAAGAATGCTGAATTATTGAAGTGCTAATTAGAAGTGGCCTATTCTCCATTACTTTTTTATAGTGCAATGTCCTGAGAGAGACATTATGGGTTGCAGCTCCTAATTCATTGCTCAAAATGTACTGCATTTAGCTAAATATAAAAGAAGCCTTGAAATCCATCTGTGGTATCTACTAACCGAGTATAGAAAAGGCTGAAAAATGGCAGCACTTATTAACCCAACTCTGTTCAAACAACTTTGGTTTTAAAGGTTTGCAAACACCAATGCCTCCAGTTGGTGGTAAATATTAACATCAAATTGCATTTATATAGTACCCTTTCATATTGGGATGTCCCAAGGCACTGAAATTAACCAGATTAGCCCCACAGTTCAGAAAATAAAGACAACTGTTGTACTGCGATGATTCTAGATAATTTGTGCCTTCGGTCGCCCTCCCACCTCTCTACCTTCCCCCACCCCATCCCACCCCTACCCCATGCTCGGGTTCTGACCCCTGACTGTCTAGCGCCTTGGGACGTCCTCCCGACATGAAAGGTGCTCTATAAATGAAATTTTGTTGTTGCTGTTGCACTATGTCTGTTCTCCTCCCCCCACCCAGGTATTTCACTCTTTAAAATAAATAAAATCCCTGATGCGAGGTTTCTTGTGAATGAAGATGCTGTTTAAGTTTATAATGATATAATGTCTGCAGTTAGTTTTCAGTCTACCATGTCGATTGCGCATTGTTTTAAATTGGGCAGGTTTTTTTAAAGCTTTCCAAACTTGAGTCAAAACATGGTAGAGAACATAGTTGTCTTGCATGTGCTAAGGTTGCATTAGATATCTGTCCCTTTTGTCCTAGTTTAACAATGGAACGTCCCAATCAGTTGTACAGTACATTCAAACACTGCTTATATTGACTTATTACATGGTTACTTTAGAGGCAGCGACATCATGCATTGTCTTTTTAAGTTTATTCTGATAACTTACCACACCTCTCTTGGGAATCAAATGAAGGTTCAGATGCAAAGTGGAGCTGACTAACAGCAGACAATGTCCTCACGGCACTGCTCACATTGTTTCTTCTATTTACAACAACTTATATTGATATAGGGCCCTTCACGCAGGGTAGCGTCCTAGAGCCACCGTTTAATGTAGTGATGATAATTCTTGCTTCTGATACTTGTGTCACATCCTTTTCTGCACTTTACTTAGTTTTTTGCAGATGAACATGGCAGCCAATTTTCTCACATCAATGCCCCACAATCTTCCATCTCGTTTGAATTCAGATTCTGTAAGATAGTTGAACCCTCTGTGCCCTTGTGAAGGTTTCAGTTTGATCATGCTGTTATTTTTAAACTTATCCCTGTTCATTATCACAGGTAAAATTTATAATGATTTTTTTTCTCTTGCACACCATAACCCTTCATAGAATTATTACATTTTGATACAGCTTTAATTGCATAATCAGATGCTAACATTGCCCTATTAACCACTGGATTCTATACATCCGTGTCCATGCTATTTTAGTCCAATATAGATAGCTATTTAGTATGTAATTTAATTACAAATTCCGTTCTGATTATGGTAAATTGCTAGAATATTTTTTAATGAAAATGACGGCATTGTTTTTTTTCCCACCCCAGGTAGATTCCTACCTGGTCTATCAATGTCAGCTAACAACTTTAATCCCAATGCACTGCTCTTTCTCCCATGCCCTTTTATATCCCTCAACAATGTGTCCCAATTCTCTTTCAAATGATCGGAGAACGGGTACTAGAAGAATTGGGTCTATTTTCTCTGGAATGGAAAAGGCTGAGGGGATATCTGATATGATCATTAAATTTGAGCGGTTTTGATAGTGGATGCGGTGAAATAATTTCTGCTAGTAATAGAACAATTTAGGATTACCAAAGGGGTCATGAGATATTTTTTATTTAGAGTGTGAATGGCCCCTGTCAGATGCGATGGTCTACATAGGATTCATATTAGCTTTCAAGAGGGAACTAAATGGATATCTAACAGAGAAGTAATTTGTAAGGTCATGGGGAAAATGGCAGATAAATTGGACTGAATGGGATTCTTTGTTCACAAAACCAGAACAGTTGTGATGGACCAAATGACACCTTTCTATGCAGTAAATTTCTATGGTTCCAAATGTTCATTTGACTGCATTCTTTATTGCAATTTGCCCAATCTTCCCTAAAAGATTGAAGTAGAAATCTGACCCAGAAATATAACTCTGTATATACTGTTATGGACCTGAAGATGATTTCTCTCTCTGTTTGCAAAAGTGCTTTTACCCCACATCGGATCAGTTTTCTTGAAGTGGATTACATTTACGATAAAGGGACTTGACAGAATTTGCCTTTAAGAAGTAATTGTTCACCTAGTGTTTAGAAGTTCAAACTTCTGGAAGTTTATGGTTCGTTTTGCTAGTTCCTTTGCCAAAAAGTTGAGTTGTTCAACATGATCGACTGCTCTTAGAACAATGCTGTATTTACACCGAATACCCAGATTTAGAGCTTCCTTGTATATTGTAATTGGAATAAAGAGATGACTGGTCCATGCCTTTGTCACCTCTCGGCTGGACCTCTCTAATGCCCTCCTTGCTGGTCTCCTGTCCACTACCATCCATAAAATCTAAATCATTCAAAACTCTGCTGCCCACATTCTCACCTGCACGAAACTCCGCTCCCCGATCACCCCAGTCCTTGCCAGACTGCACTGGCTGCCTATCCCAGAGAGGATCGATTTCAAGGTTCTTGTATTCAAGTCTCTGCACTCCTTTGCACCCCCCTACCTCTCTGACCTCCTCTCTCCTCAAAACAGTACAAGTTGCCTCTGTTCCTCCGGGACTGGCCTCCTCCTCGTCCCCCGAGTCCTCCGCTCCACCCTCGGCGGCCGTGCCTTCAGCCACTATGGCCCGAGGCTCTGGAACTGCCTGTCTTACTCCCTTCGTCTCGCTCCCTTCCCATTTTCAGGTCTCTGCTGAAGACCTTTTTTTTCGACCGCGCTTTTGGTCACCTTCCTCCCCCTCCCCCTGGCTCGGTCCTGGGATCTGTGACTGTAAAGCGCTCTGAGACGTCATCCAGCATGGAGGGCGCTATATAAATCCAAGTTGTTGTTGACTGTATCTTGAAATATTTTGTTTGTGGAAATTAAATACTATCTCATAACTTGGGTGTCGGTCTGAATCAGTTAGCAGCTCTCACCTCGGAGTCAGAAGCTTGTGGGTTTAATTCCCATGTCAGGCCTTGCAATTCACTTTGGAGAAGTCCAGTGGTGGATGAGTACTGAATTATCAGATGTCATCCTTCAGATGAGACGTTAAACTGAGATCCTGTCTGCCTATTCGGGTGGCAACTGTTTTCTAAAAGATGTGGGAGTATCTCCCAGTGTCCTCACCAACAATCCTCCTGATAAAATTGACAGTTTACTACATGACTGTTTGTGGGCCATTGCCGTGTGCAAATTGGCTGTTTTTTGCCCACAAAATAGTCATTTCACTCTACAGTAAATCCTGTGAAACTCTTTGAGATGATTCAACACTGTGATAAGTGCTATACCAAATCCAGTTGTTGTATGAAGGCAATTTTCCTTTCAGCGACATCACCATTCAACCCAGGTTTATTGTGCAATGAGAGTTTTAACAAACTGTCTTGAGGGTCAATGGCATTACTGTCGCTCGAGTATATGAACTGGCACATTGCACATTTTCTTTTCAATTCCAATCTTCTTTGCCTCTTGAAGGTGTCATGCAGTTGACTGAATTGTGTCTCGCTGAATTAACTGCACTCCATAATAGAGCCAGTTTATTTTTTCTTTAGTCGACAATCTTGTTCCTTACTATAGGAGTGATGGGAGTTCTTCCTGGTAACCTGTCCACTAATTTCCCCAAATAAGATTGGTCATTCATTGCATGCCTTTATTTTGAGAGTGGGGGTGGGGGTCAGTGATGTATGCAATTAATAGCTGTTGCTTCACCTACAAATACAACCTCTGTACTTTACAGTAAAATCCTTTGAAGTGCTTTGAGATGTTTTGATAAGATCATGGAGTGTTCTGTCGAATGCTATTATTAGTAAAACTGAATAATTCTGCATATTCTGCAGTCCTATCGTTTCGGTTTCTGGAGATTTTGTCTTTAATATATCTTTTCTCCTCTTTCAGGTTTCGGCAACTTTTGCAGCGAGTTTGGTAACCAGTCCTGCCATTGGTGCTTACCTTTCAAGTAAATATGGTGATAACCTTGTAGTGCTTGTGGCCACTATAATTGCTGCATTGGACATCTGCTTTATCTTGGTGGCCGTGCCAGAGTCTCTGCCAGACAAGATTCGTCCAGCTTCACGAGGAGCAGCTTTCCAATGGGAGCAAGCGGACCCTTTTTCTGTAAGCATCTCTGTATACCCACAATTTACCAGAATGCAAAAAAAAAGTACAATATTATTATAAATGCCCAGTTTTAGTCATCCCACTTGCATGGTGAGTCAATTTCAGGTGTCAATTTCAGATAATTAATGAAGGGAAGGTTAAGAGTTTTTTTTTTTGAGTTGTCAGGATGTGGAATTTCTTCCAGGTGGGGTTGTTATGTGAGGACCAACATTAGCTTTCAAGAGAGACCTAGGTAGATATTGTGAAGCAGTAATTATCAGGGATGTGGGGGAAATGGGACTGAATTGATTGCTCCTTCAGTGATTATGATGGGGCGAATGACCTTCCATGATGTGAATGTCTGCTGCCTTTGTATTTTAAATCTATGAAACATTTATGGGCTTGTGGTTAATTCCATCAAGATGCTCTGAAACCGTTTCTTACTTTACATATAAACATTGCATATTTGCAACATAAGCTGCCGAACAGACAGTCCTGCCCATACGAGAATGCCAAGAACATGACAGAACTCTTGTGAAGAGTATCACAGAATTGGATTAAACAGTTGCATTCTTAATGAGTTGGATTCTGTACTGTGCAATGAGTCAAGATACACAAAACCTTTGATTACAACCAACTTTGCACATAAAGGGACTTTTCATACCAGTTCTACAAAGATTGTCCACGTCAGTAGAATAAATTGGGTTATTCCATTTTCCTTTGTGCATTCAGTTCCTACAACTGGTGGTTTTGTTCGGCAAAGATCTTTGAATAAAAACTGGAGGAACAATTAAGCAATTAATGTTGCCTTTCACCCTTTGTGCTATTAAGATTCAGAGGAAAGCTCTTTTCTAAAAGATAGAAATGTAAAGCAAAATATTCAGTGACTTTGTTTAAAAGGAAATTTTATGAATTTATAATTTGAAAAAAATAAAAAGTTTTTAAAAAAATTAGCTTACTTCAAACTAATTGAGGTACAGTTTAGAGAACTCAAAATGCCCAGCAGATTCTCTAGGCTGGAGACGAGTGCTAGGAAATGTGTCGAAAGCCATTGTCAAACTAAAGGAAATTTTACTTGCATTTGCAAAGCGCAGATTAGAAACTGTTTGGGGCATTTTGGGAAACGGTTTTTGATATTCTTTTGGCTCAACAGTTTATAATGAACAGACACTTGATCATCTAAATCTAACCAAGAACAAAATGTCTGAGAAATTAATCTTTTTCTAGGATTTGCATGAGAGATGTGGAAATTAAGATTAGTGAATAGAAGTGATATGTGGAGAGGCTCATGGGGTGAAAGATGAGGAATTCCTTGGGATTTGAGCTTTAAAGGATCATTGGGTAACTGAATGAGTAAACTCACAGTGTGATATCGGACTGACCCAGACTGTTCTTTGGTCTGTGCAGAGTTGGCTGCACAAAGCTGCCATCAGGCAGGACATTAGTAGGAATACCAGTGACCTCATCTTGAAAATGGTCTGATGTGAATTGTCAAAGTAGTCTAGATCCATTAAAAATCTACTGAATCTACTACTGAAGCTACACCCTAATGGTATATTCTGTATGCAAGTGTTGCTTGATGTGCAGTCACCATCATGTACATGGTGTCCACAAAGTTCCTCTTATCCCCCTGTTACAAAACAGTGATATGAGACTATGGAGGAGCTGAAACAAGCTGTTACATCATGTTAAAGAAGATGTCAAACTGAACAGGGTCACGGATCATTATCTGCCATAAAATTATGGCGCTCACACCGATCTCCTGGACGTCTAAATACAGTTAAACACTTGTACTGAATACAATTAAGTACTTGTAAATACAATTGCCATCATTCATCCATAAGTTTCAGTTGTTGGTCGGTGAACTGTAAAAAAACACTTTGGGGTAGCAGGACTTTGTGGAGACCTTGGACAGTATTTGAGTTCCAGCCATGCTGTCTCAAAGCTATGCCATGTGAATTGCTTATTGGAAAGCTTTTTAATCCAATTTCTTAAAAGCCTAAGCGTAGAAAATCTGTTAATTAGCTAAAATAAGTCCCAGATGAGCTCTCAAATATATTGATGTTTACTGAATCTCATTTTTACTTTTTCTTATTAAATTGCAGTCTTTGAAGAAGGTTGGAAAGGATACCACTGTATTGCTCATCTGTATAACGGTGTTTCTCTCGTACCTGCCCGAGGCTGGACAGTACTCCAGCTTTTTCCTTTACCTCAGACAGGTGTGTGTCAGATTTTCCACTGCTCGTTCCCTCCTCCGTTTGTTTAGTTGCAGTCTGTTTAATCAGCCGGTTCACTGTGGGCTTTTTTGCAGCGTTTGTTTTGTAATCTTGTGAGCGTGTTTGTGGGGAAACAGTGGTTGTGTAAGGAAGGTTTTTTAAGTTTCTAAAAACTCTAATTTTCAAAAAATGGATTTTTAGAAGTCAATAAATTGTCTACATTGTGTATTATTTTTCAATTTTTGAGGAAAATTGCTAACAGGAAATGTACCATTTGTTGTGTGCTTTTCTGTGGATATTTTGCTTATCAGTCGTTACCAAGGGAAGCCCCCAGACTGGTTCTGTTTCTCAGTCCACTGCACTTTTTAATGGCTGTTTCCTTTCCTCAGGTTATTGATTTTTCTCCTGAAAACCTGGCAGCTTTTATCGCCGTGGTTGGGATCCTCTCTATAATAGCACAGGTGATTGTCGAATGATTGACTCGTTTTCATTTTCCCGCCTTGCAATCGGTTATTCTAAATACCACCAGAACAAAACCATGTCATGATACGTGCAGACCTCATATACCTGTGATTCATGTGGCTGATAATAATAATCCTTGCATTTGATAGTGTCTTATCACATCATTGAGACATCTCAACAACGTGATAAGACATTATATGAATGCAAGGATTTCTGTAAAATGGCTTGTTTATTCTGCAGATGTATGACAACTTTTCATTCTCATATCAGCACTGTAGGATTAAACCCATTTAGATGCAGACTTGAGTATTTCAAAGTTGCCCTTTTAATAAACTCTGGTGTCCTTGTGCCATACATTGTGAGCATCGGATTTCAAAGCTAATTGCATTAATTGCTTGCATTTTACAAGTTTCTGACAGTTGATTTTTGCCAATGACATGTTCAAAATTTAATCTGCTTCAGTTATGTAGCACATTGGATCATCTATCATTAGTTTATTTTCACAGACTACAACTACAACCACAAAATTACATTTGTATAGCGCCTTTCACATCGGGAGGACGTCCCAAGGTGCTGGACAGTCAATGTTTTGGACCTGAGCTGGGGGTCGGGATCAGGAGGGTGGAGGGCAGGGGTGGAAGGAGGGTGATCAATGGCACGGTTGAAGAGGAGGGTCTTGAGGTGGGTCTTGAAGGAGGCAAGGGAGGGAGCAGGTGGAGGAACTGCGGGATGGCGTTCCAGTGGGTGGAGGCAAAGTAGCAGAAGGCTTGCCTGCCAATGGTGGGGTGGGCGATGCAGGGGACGTGACGTCAAGATGCCAAGGTTACGGACTGTCTTAGTAAGGTGGAGTGTGCATACTTAGATGGTGATGCTGTCAGCGCCTGAGGTGTGGAGGCACTGACGGGAGCCAATCAGGAGAACCTTGGTTGACGTTCAACTGAAGAAAGTTACCTGTCATCCAGGTCTTGATGTCGGACAGACATTCTGTCAGGACAGCAGTGGGACTGGAGTCAAAGGTGGAGGCAGAGGGGTACATCCACATACATGTGGAAATTCACCCCATGTCTGCGGATGATGTCACAGAGCATATAGATGGTGGGGCGGGCGAGGTGGGGGACATGAAGAAAGCTGGAGCCCGCTGAGCGGAGGGAGCAGGCAGGTTGGTAGGGGGTTAGGAGGTCGCAGAGGTAGGGGAGAGCGAGGCTATGGAGGACTTTGAAGATGAGGACCAAGATCTTGAACTGTATCCTCTGTGTGAAAGACTAATTGAAAGAATGGCTAATCTTCTGTTATACATATCTAGATTTGTGCAATTACTCACAGGCTAAGCTTTGTTCGTGTGGATTATGATAAGTAATTCCTCCTATAAAAAATCTTGTTAAAATTCCTATAGCACTATGACATCTGCAAGGGCTAGCCTGTGTGTTCCTTGTGTGGTTGTACACCCTATCCTAACAATCAAACAAATATAACTCAGCTCAAATGAGTGATCACAAGTAACTTACAAAAGATACTTGTAAATTGTATTGTGACAAAGCACATTTTGCAGGAACAGAATACACATGAATGGATTAAATGTGCATTTCTCATTGCCTTGGATAAACTTTCACTTCAAAAATCGAAGATCATTAACTTTGCACAGAAACTGGCTTATTCTCTGGCTCTGGGAAACCTGAATGACATACAGTTCACTCTTCCAACGGTGCTTACTAAGCCAACAGTGCTTGCAATACTAAATTGTAAACCTGACGCCATCTTCTGTGCATGAAGTCATCTCTTTTAAACCCAGATTGCTGCTTTTTTTTAAAAACTGACTTTTATACTTCCTTTGGTCCATATTAAAGGAAGTGCCAGACAGTCTTGTTGAAATTGATTTGTTTGAGGGATTTGTTTATGCAATTATTTTGTGATCACATTTGATTCGAGCAATATTGTTTCCCCACTTTTGTTCAGAATTTCTTTGCTTATTGGCAGTGGGTTTACTGAACTTTAACCATAGAACTGGAGTTCATGCCATTCAGTATATTAATCAGTTGGCCTTTTCACTGAAAGTTTCAATGTTTTTCATGCTCTGATTTACTAAGTTTGAATAATATTGGTTATTGATATGAGTTATAATATTAGCTACATTAGTTATCAAAATAGCATGCGATAGTGAACTTGAGTTGGTAGTAACACTTGATCTTTCTGCTGAACTGAAATGTTCGCATTCTAACCATCAAGCATTTGACAATTTAATTTCCAAGCAGATGAGCAACTTCATTTCTGAAGAAAATGGGAATACGGCCTCTAATGGATCCTTTGTTTCTGTATTTTTAGACTTTATTTCTTAGTATCCTAATGAGGTCCATAGGGAATAAGAACACCGTTCTCCTTGGTTTGGGATTTCAGATGCTGCAGCTTGCTTGGTATGGCTTTGGATCACAGCACTGGTAAGCAAACATCCTTTACTAGACACGTATTCAGTGATGGATAACTAAGATTGTGTTTATCTACACAATATGCAAAGGTGCAAACTATTTTGAATTGTTACCTGTGTTCAAGCTATTGTTCACGTGTACAACATATAGGTTGCATTGCAGAAAGGTGAAATGGTGAGGGGAGGGAAGAGATGTAGATGACTGACAGGATGTTAGCTATGCATGTTGCATTTAGTTTCTGAGACTTTCTGAACTCCTGAAAATTTGAGATGAAATGTGCTGCGTATGGTTGTGCTCAGGGCTTCTTCATTGATTGATGCGGTTGAAACACAATAGGAATGTGATTCCCCTGCACGGTGTTTGATTGCCTTTCGTTGTCCTAGGATGATGTGGGCAGCAGGAGCTGTGGCAGCCATGTCCAGCATTACCTTCCCTGCAGTGAGCGCTCTGGTTTCCAGAAACGCTGATTCTGATCAGCAGGGTGAGTCCTTTTGGTTAATGTTTTCATTCTCTGTCAACTGCAAGAATCTAATCTATCAAGGACTAACTTGTGATACCACATGAAATTGTCAGCTCTGCTTTCTGTAACTTTTATTTTGAAAATCTTTTCCCGATGCACATAAATTCCACTTCTTATAAAAAGCTTACTATGATCATGAATGTTAAAAGTTTTAAATAATAATAATCCTTGCATTTGATCTAGCACCTTATCAAGTTGTTGAGACTTCTCAAAGGACTTCACAGAATATACTGTTCAAGAGAATTGACTGTATATTTTGGGACTCTACACTGCCCCCATCTCATATGCTTCCTACCATTGAATTTGGCTCTTTGGATATGCAAAGGGTTTGAGTAGAGTACGTGCCAAGGGCATGTGGTTTATGGAAAATTTCTGCATGAGTGCCAATTGGTGCAAAATGATTTGCAGGAATAAATGACTTATTTCCTTAGTTTCCATAAAATGTCAGCCCGTGGTGTGTAAAGCACTTGGTAATATATTTTTAAGTAATTTCATATCTAAATAAAAATCATTTTGTTTTACCTTTTCTAGAATTCTCACCCGTTGGCCACATATTCCTGACTGAGAGGGTTGGTTGGTCTGTTCCCCGACTTTCACAGTTCTAGTTCAGGCCCACATAAGGAGCACTTGTGGTAACTCCTCCACAGCTTTCATTGGAAACACTGTCCAGCAGCAGTCGCCCCATGCCTCAGAGTTTCCTCATCAGAAATTCATAAGGCTAGCAACCTTTCCTCGTAGCTCTGCCTCTAAATCCTGGAATTCTAGTATCCCTTCTGTTTCACTACTCCAATTTTTTAAAAATTAGGAGACCAAAATTTCACACGGTGTGTCAAATGTTTGGTACAGTTTTGAAAGCTTATCCCTCGACTTCTGTGGTTAAAAGCTAGGTACACTAATGGATTTAATGACTTTTTCACCTTGGACATTTTATTCTGCTTAATCTCATTTCTCTATTATCAGGCTCTTTGTGCCCAGATCTTCAGATCTCTCTGAATTGTATGGATCTGATTTCCATTTTATTTGTGGTCTTGGAAATGTGAGCTTTGAGGTTGCCGTCAATTCAAATGAACAAAGATACGTTCTAGTAAAGGAGCCTCCTGTTGTGTGCCTGTGACCACACACTGTCCTCTCACTGCAGCCTCAGTTAGTCATTATTGTCCCTCCTTTCAGGTGTCGTACAAGGAATGATTACAGGAATCCGAGGGCTCTGCAATGGGCTGGGGCCAGCTTTGTATGGCTTTATTTTCTTCTTGTTTGACGTGGAGCTGGATGAAATCACTGATAAAACAGTTGATGTGCAAAATTCCAAAGTTGAGGTAAAATACATTAATAAGCCGTTGATGTGCCTTATGCTCTTTCATAGGTGCTGTGCGTGTTCGTTCAGGTTTCCTTTGACTCCTCCACAAATGTGGATCTGGTGCACTGTGGGCTCGGACGTATAATGTGTAGTGGCTGTGGAGTGTTACATATCCTGTCTGTGCCACTATCTTTTTNGATGAATCACAATTTCCAGCTCTTTCTCCATATCTTAATGTTTCTAACTGGGTTGAATCACACCCCTGTAGACAGAAGAGAGTCCAATGCCTTGAGGAGGAAATTAATTGGCAGCAAAAAATAAAATGAAAACTTTCTATCTTAAATTCTATTAATGGGTGGAATGTTGTTACTGTTTGGATATGAAGCAGCTGCCCATATTTTAAGATGGGATTCTTGGAAAACACTGATAATTACAACACTTGACTGCTAATGACTTTAATGAGCTTTCTGACACATGATTGATAGCCAATCATTCATTCCAGATTTATTTTTTGAATATCGAGCAGGTAGGGGAAAAAGTAACTACTCTGGTCTTCCTCGCTTTCACTGAGCGACCTATGCCCCAGGCTGGGAATGTGGCTGAAATCCACCTTTAACGTGAATTGATAACATGAATTATGCACATCAGTCTCTTTTGATTTGGGTACAAATCACATCATCTGTCTTGTGCCGCTTTGCCTTTTTAATATCGCTTCTGATACTTTCAAGGGGTATCTTCCAAAGTTTCATGTAAATCCATTGAACCTCCTTGACCATTGTGCCCTCTCTGAGCTGCTATTGGTGGTGACAATCTCACTAGTTTATTTGAAGCTTGCTGAATTAATTATGTTTTGTGAAGTCTGACTCACTGAATTGACTCTAGACTGTCTGTATTTTTTTTGCTGCTGAAATCAATACCTAGCACACAGTGAGCTACTGTAGTCCTGTATCTCTTAATAAATGTTAGGTTAATTTTAGCTAATATTCCATTGTTTTATTTATAATTAATCAATTATTGTTGACGTTTCACAGGATATGCTGTAAAGTGGATTGACTGTATTTTGTGGGCGAATTTAGTGAAATAACTACACATAGAAATGGGGCACAACTGTGCAGCTGCTAAAAGCCCATATACTTGATGTCTCCATACAAATTATTCTTTTGATTCCTCTAGGATTCCATCATCCCCGGACCACCTTTTTTATTTGGAGCCATTTCTGTCCTCCTGGCATTTATGGTTGCCTTATTCATCCCTGAGCACAGTATGACTGGGAAGAGCAGTAATATGAGGAAGCACAGCGGCAGCCTGAGCAACACCCCGCCCACCCCACCTGTGGGCAGTGATGAAGACCATGAGCCACTGCTGCAGGACAGCAGCGTATGAGGACACGAGCTCCAACAACAGGCAAAGAAACAGCAGATCTGAATGAAGAACCAAGACGTGTTGATCACCACGGAATCTAATGGTTACCCAAAGGCCTATAAATATATCTCTGCCCACTCAAAAGAAACACACTTGTGAAGGAGGACCTTGGGATCCATTGTAGCAATGTGCCAATTGACTTTGGTTACTTTTTTTAAAAAATACAAGCTACTTGAACGTGTGTAACCAGCACTGCCAGTTCTTCAAAGTACTGTCCAAAGTGCAGGAAGTTCCAGGTGATGCTGCAATCGGCACTTAGTTTGGAGAAGACTCGTTGCAGAGCCACATCTCAGGGTTGTTAACTCATCAATCGGTGGAGAGGGTAAAGTTTTTGAAGGTCGATCTAATCGATTTTCTTTCCATCCTCCAATAAACCCTTTCCTGATTAGATTAATTTGGGTGCTGTTGTTCTCTTCCGTTCTCTCCCCCACCCCTTACAAAAAAGTAGCATCCGTTAAATTCACTCAGCCTTCTTACAAATATCCACAAACATTTTGGAAGGGGAACAAAACAACTTAAAGTACAGTGGTATGGTAATGATCCGTGGGACGGTATCCCAGACTGTTTAAAAGATGAAAAGGCCAAATTTCATTTGGAATATTTGTTAAAAAGTCTGTTTTGTTTTTAAGCGTGTCTAATACATATCTGACAATATCTTTTCTCCATTTTGTAAGAAGGCTGTGGTTGAGGTATCTGCTTAAAACATCTTTTTTTTCTCTGATTTACCTTTCAGGTACAGGTAAACCTAACCTGTGAAAGTAACAGTAGTTTTTGTGTCTAAGGATTATGGGTTACCTAGTATTTTTTGACGTGAGTTTTTATATTCGAATTGGCTTCTGCTGGACTTTAACAAAACCTTTAAATGAATCAAACTGAAGTGCAGAAGTTTTCCATTAAAGTCAAAAGGGTGTCAGTGAATGGTTTTAGTTTGGTATAATTAGTATAACCACTTCCTTGTTCTTTCCTTGCATTTGGATTTAGCAGCTAACAGTAGCACAACCTCAAACACTTTAATCTGCTACCTCAGCTCCAGCCTATAGACAAGCAACGCTGCAGGCCTGCTGTCCTTTCACATCATTAATTATCCATTCTGCTTTGCTGAAGTGTGCATCAGAGTTAGCCTGAGATGTTCATTGGGACCAAATCCAACTTCGGGACACTTTTTTTGCATGTGTGAGTGTGTGTGAAATTTCTTCATGCATGTACACCCAACCCCAACCTCTCCTGGTGTTTATCAGCAGTAATGTTCTGTTTGTGGAAGAAGCACATTCCAGTTGTGCATTGTTACCTGAATATGCCTGGGTGGTTGAACTCAATGTAACCATTTTCATTCAATTTTGTAATCGCATATAGAAACTTTAATTTGCTTAATGTACGATTCATGGAGATTTCTAGTTGTTGCACTCTTCACTTTGAGAGAGTTGTAGTTTTTTTTGTCCTGAAGATGAATTGGCCTGAAGTGTTTTAAAATGGCCTGATATAACTTGCAGAAAGCTAGTTTTCCTATCCAAAACGGAATGTTTTTCAAAAGAAGCTATTGTGAGAAAGTGGTGTACCCTCACCAAACCTTGTATTTTTACGTTATCTGCAATGATCTCTGCCGTCAATACTAAGTCAAATGCACTGAACAAGGTGACTCTTGAGGGTCCATTTTTGCCTTAAAGATAAGGTGATTTACTTTTTTTTAATTCTGTAACTTCATAATGTCATGGTATGAAGATATTGGCAATAAGTTGTTGGGAAATGAACAGATCTTTTTCATGGATTGTATTGAAGTAAAGGCTGGATGAAACTGCCCATCTAATCAATACTTAAAGTCGATCTCATCCAAATTAAATTTAATATCAACTTGCATTTCAACACTGGTCCTTTTGCAAAGCAGAACATTTTATCTGACTCCTTTCTCCTCTTTCCCCCACCCCCCTCCATCACACAGACTTCCCTCTCTCACTTATTCACACACAATTTAGTGTTCCCATCTCAAACAAATTGTTTTGGCCATGTGTTCTGAAAAAGTTCTTGTTTTGTCACGGTGACTTTTCAGATGTGCTATGAATTAAACTGATTTTTTTTCATTGACCTAAAGTTTAAAATTTCTAATTCAAGTTAATGAAGTTGTTCCGCAAATGTGGCCCGTCTGATGTTGGATTATTTTCTGGAGTTTGGTAATGATCTGTATTCACACCAATTCGTGCTCAAGTGCAATGTGTTTGTTGTGAAGAGTATTCATAGAAATTATTTTGAATTTTAAGAAAAGGTATATTATAAAATATATTTTTCTGAAATAGCAATTCACAAACTCGAAAGGACTTGGCACCGAGGCACTGGTGTTTGTCCTGTTTTACAGTTACATTACCACTTTCTTCAAATGTGCCTCATCTGGAAGTGTATAAAATGTACAGATAAACAAACTTCATAGTAATTTATTAAAATAACTATATCCAGCAAACTGATCGTTGTGGTAGTTTTTCTATCCAACAGTGTCTTGTCTAAAGTGACAATTCAATATTTTAAAACATTTTTCAGCGTTGCTAAGTAGTATACAACACATCAAATCTTCATGCAGGGTGTGTAGGGTACATGTGGAGTCCTGTGGCTCGGTAGTCAGAGCAATTACCTCGCAAGCAAGAGGACCTGGATTTGATTCCCGAGCAGGGTGGGCATTGGGCAAGTTTCTTTGCTCCACACGCCTCTGTTTACCTAGCAGTACGTAGGAGCCCGGCTTGAACTTGCTTTCAAGGCCCTCCAAGGCCTTGCCCCTTCCTACCTCTGTGACCTGCTAACCCCATATCGATCTGTCCACTCCCTCTGCTCAGCGAGCTGCAGCCTGCTCCACAGCCCCCACCATCGCCAGTCAGGCCTTCAGCCTCTCTGCCCCCACCCTCTGCCCTCTCCATCCCACATTACCTTCGCCTCACTCCCTCACTTGCCTCCTTCAAGGCACATCTCAAGACCCTCATCTTGGACTGCGCCTTTGGCTGCTCTCCACCCCTTCTTATTCCCAACTCCTCCGGCTCCCTAAATTATTGGGGGAGAAGGGTAGAGAAAATACAGAATACAGCATCTAAACCAGTGGTGGCTGTCGTTTACGGTTGACCAACAAAATACATTTTCTTGATTGAATATTTCTTGATTTATGGCATTCAATCAATCAAGAAAGAAAAAAACTAAAACACAACCAGTCAAACACTGGCTGACCTAGACTTGTCTGATGTTCATGGGGGTGGGGGGAGTGGTGTGGGGCCCATCCAGAGGTTGGTCAGCACTGATTGATTGGATGGGGCTGTGGGGGAAAGGTTTATTGGGAGGAGTGGGACTGCTGTTAGTTCAACTGCCGAACACGTTACAACGGCCTGTAGTAAGTGATCTCATGCTGGCTTGGGCCTTCATTTCTACTTCATTAATAGGATGCTTTCATCTTCTGAACATTGCACTATAATCCACAGTGATGGGATGTTCTGATGTGTCTGTGTGGCTTGTCTGGAAATATAAAAACTACCTTTGCATTTTTTGACTACTGCTGTCTTTTTCCTTCCCCTGTGTTGAGCTGTTGCTTCCAGGGAGCCTTCCCTGTGGATTGCAGGTCTCTGGCGACTGACTTTGCTACAGAAGTATTGTATGGAAAAGGTGTTCATTTATCAATTTAAAAATAGAGCGTCTATTTTAAAGCTATGAGTTTCCTTCAAACAAAAATCTTAACAAAAAGTGTGACTGTAATTGTTTTCTGGACACGTTGCTATTTTGGGGATTGCAAGTATGAATATGACACTGACGACACTTCATGCATTGGGGAAATCTTAGTAAATCAGATGACTATAATGAGTGACTATTTTTGCCAAACTGTGATGCATAATAAAAAAGTAATTTTGTAAGATATGCATGAGTTAATTGAAAACTGCTTCAATTCACATGGCAAAGGGGCTGTTGAACCAACGTCAAAACTTTATCAGTTAAGGCAACAGCACAGCTTTCCTTGCAGCTCAGCTAGCAAAGTTTTGCCTTGGTGGAACAGAGTCATTTAAACCAGAAAATCCCAAGTGTGATGCTTAACTCATTGAGGGAGGGGATCCCTTGAGGGTATCCACAAAGTCCTCTTAACCCCTGTTACAAAACAACATTATTGAGACTATGGAGAAGCTGAAACAAGCAGTCAGAGATACTTTGGCCTTGTCACTCCATCGTGTTACAGAAGATGTGGCATTGAACATGGGGATGGATCATTACCTGCCATGAAAATGATGGCACTCACACTGATCCTCTGGATGTCTAAATAGTTAAACACTTGTACTGACTACAAATATCACCATTCTTCCACGTGTTTGTTGTTGGTAGGATAAAACATGGGGGTAACAGGATTTTGTGGACACCCTATAAGTTGGTTACACATGCTTCCATTTCATTTTGATGCTGATGGAAGTGTACCCCAACAGCAAAGTTGGTGTCAATGAGCTGAAATATTTGCATCTGCAGATTAATGCAAATTGACTGGCTGTGGTTTTCACTAGCAATAGTGAAACTTGTTTTTAAAAAGGTCACACAAAATAGAAACCCAGGCATCTGTTGATGAGACATCAACTTGTCGTCTTCAGCAGCAATAATACAGTAAAACCGTTCCTGGTGCTGTGTTTTCAGCTCAGAAAGTGCAGTTAAGTACATTACATTTTACTCTGGGATGATGGATGAGGAACAGGCTCTTCTAAACAACTTGTCGAATGTAGTTTGCTGCCATTGAAGGTTCAGCTGACAAATTTATTTTGTGAAGGTGAGAATTTAAGACATTGGATCCCAAAGCTCAGTGCATATCGTCTCTCAGGCTTTCTTTCACGTGCTTGACCTCTGGAAAATGTTGAAAGGTTGATGAGTACGTGGACAGGGATTAGACCTTCTTGATGCCAATGGAAAGAACTCTTCTAAAATTGATTGTTTTTTACATTATGCTGACTTCAAATCTCTGTGGCCAGTTTTTGCCTGCACTTCGTGCAGATTGGCTTGAATCTTTCTCAGAATATTGATTGGCCTTATCAAAAAAGGATTTGGAAATCAAAAATGGGAGATTCCATTGGTATTTGATCTGGCAAATGCAAGGATTATTATAAACAAAACACAAAATACTGCATATGCTGGACATCTGAAACAAAAGCAGAAATCGCTGGGAACATACAGCAGGCCCGGCAACATCTGTGGAGGAAGGAAAGTGAGTCAACATTTCGAGTCCACAACCCTTCGTATGAACTCAAGAAGGTCAATTCACTGTTCTGATGAAGGGTCTTGGACCCGAAACATTGATTCTCCACATATGTTGCCTGACCTTCTGTGTGTTCCCAGCCATGTCTGTTTGTGCAAGGAGTATTATTATTATAGATATACTGCTTCCCCAAATCCGGTATAAGTTTACCTCTGGGTATAACGAATTGTGATTTTATTATTATTTTACATTTCCCCCTTCTCACTCCTTTTACCACTCGGGCCCCAATGTCTCAAAAAAAGAGATGAAGCAAGCTGATCAAGCGCTCCGGGAGGTTACCCAGCATGAAGGGTGCTATATAAATGGAAGTTGTTGTTGTCGTTTTGTTCTGCTTTATAATGGACACTAGATGGAGTATTTACAAAAGCTGGTCGCTGGCTAAATAATAATAATAATTTGGTCACTCAATCGACGACTGTTTGTGGGACACCGCTGTGCGCAATTGTCTACCACATTTCCTACCAAAAATACGCAATCACTACACTTTACAGTATATTTTGTGAAAAGCTTGAGATGTCTCAACAACGTGATTAGGTGCTACATCAAATGAGAGGATTATTATTAGAGCAACCTGTAGTATAATAATCCTTACCTTTGAAATAGCACCTTTCACAGTAGGAGAATGTCTCCATGTGCTTCATGAGATTTACTGTAACGTTTAGTAATTGTATTTTGTGGGCGAACACGGCAGGCAATTTCAACACAGAAATGTCCCACAAACAGCCATGAAACGAATGACCAATTTTATTTGGGGGATTGTTGGCCAGGACACCAGAAGAAACTCCCTTCTCTTTTCAAATAGTGCCATGGATCTTTAACATCCTCCTCAACATGCAGATTGACCTCAGTTTAACATCCAATCCGAACGATGAGACCTCTGACAACGCAGAGCTTCCCCAACGCTATATTGGAGTTAGACTTAGAGCTCAAAGTCCTGACGTGGAGCTTGAACCTACAACTATCTTGACTCTGAAGCAAAAATGTTTGCCAATGTTTGCCAAAATACCAATGTTCCACAGAATAATTAATGGAAGAGAAAATACAAAACAGGAGAGGGAGATTTGACTTATTAAGATTCGATCCCCAGCTTCCAAGATTCGCCCCTTTCTATCCCACATTTGGTCCGTGACCATGAGCGCTTGCCTTCACCTCCATCACAGAGCTCGATTCCCAAGCACCCTGCACAGGGGAAACTTTCATCCACGTTTTCATCACCTCCCACTTCTATTATTCCAATTCCCCGCCACCCGCCAGTCTCCCCAGCTCTCCACAAAATCCAATTAATTCAAAACTCTGCAGTATACTCACCCGCACTAAAATCCGTATCCCCATCACACCACTGCTTGTCAGGATCCACTTGCTCCCTATCATAGAATGGATAGACCTCAAGATTCTCTCAATCATTTACAAATCCTTTCATGCCCTGACACCTCCCTACCTCTCCGACCTGCGTTTTCCCCACTCCACCACTTGCCATCTCCGCTCAGTTGGTTCCAGCCTCCTCCTTGTCCCTCGTCCCCTCCCTACGCCATTGGTTGTGGTGCTTTCTCTCTCCCTCAATCCCTTTGTCTTGCCCCATTTTCAAATCATGCTTGAAGACCCTCCTCTTCGAAGGTGCCTAGTCACCCCCCCCTTCCCTCCGGCTTGATGTGCTGTTTCATCACTGTTATGTGTTCCAAGATGCTACCCTGGATGAAGGGTGCTATATAAATGCAAGCTGTTGTATTTTACGGGTGGGCAGAGAAGCTGGCACAGATGGGACACTCCAGGTAGCTCAGTCAGTTGAGCAACGATCAGACTTGAGACCAAGTTTCTGGATTCAGCCCTCCCCCACCGCGCTCCTCAAGGTCAGATCTTACCATTGTGGTTTGCAAATAATTTTGGATTTAGTTTCTATGTTTTACAATTATGTGCCACATTTAAAAATATTTCCTTGGCAGAATAGGAAGAAAGGTGAGGGGAGAGAGTCTCTCTTTCTGATGAGACACTCCAGGCAGTTATGCAGTAATAGAATAATAATCCTTGCATTTGATATAGTGCCTTATCACGTCGTCAAGAGCTCTCAAAGTGCTTCACAGAATATACCATATAGTGTAGTGACTGTATATTTTGTGGGCGAAACATGGCAGCCAACTGCGCACAGCAGTGTCCCACAACAGTTGTGGATTGAGTCAACACATTATATATTTTTTTGAAGGAATTAT